TGGGGCAATCTACTTCCATAGTGATACTGCCTCAGAAACCCAAGGAGGGGTCGCTATGAGTCGGGTCCGACTCGACGGCACATAACAACAACAACAGTTATTCTGAGAAGACCCCTTTTGGTGCAGTGGTTAAGTACTCTGCTGCTAACCAAAAGGTCTGCAGTTCGAACCTGCCAGCCACTGTGTCAGAGAAAGACAAGCAGCCTGCTTCCATAAAGATTACAGCCTTGGAAACCCTGTGGGGAAGTTCTACTCTGTTCTGTAGGGTCACTATGAGTTGGAACTGAATCGATGACAATGGGTTTGGCTTCTGGCAGTCATTCTGTAGATGCTTTTAAGACCTTGAAAATAACATCATGTTTATACTTAACATATTGTCAATTACAGTAAATAGCAAAAGATAAATTATAAAATCTCTTTGCTTGTGTACTCTCAGAATATGTATTTTTTTAAAATTGCCACCTATCATTTAGTAGATAAAGAAAAACACACAGAAAGTGTACACAAAAATTAAATTTAAAAAAATTTGAAAGGGAACTTCAGCCAATGTTGCTCATCTTGATACCAGGTAAAACAGAGCAAAGTTCTAAAATAAAATTGTCCAATCATTCATGCCAAAAAAGAGACTCTTGCACTTTGAAACAAAGCAAAGCACTCAGGAGAGAACTACAGCCAACTCTCCATTATTCCCGGGTGGATTACCCACACTAAGAACCAGTTATAGCTAAATTTATATTTTTGCTGACTCACCTTCATTTCTCAGGTAGCTCAAACTCAACCTCCCACCACCCCACCTTAGTATGTGACTGGGAAATATTTCTATATATTTTGCATAAAATATACTTGAAAATAAAACTTTTTGTTATCCAATACTGCTTCATTAAGTATGATGCTATTCATTACTTTGGACAATGGTGACTTGATTGTAGTTAACAAGTAGAAATACAAAAGTTGCCCACTGGATTGACACGCCTGATTAGTAAAAAGAAAAGATGAACAGAGCCATCATCAGACTAAAAGACAAGGTTCCTGAATAACCAGATTTTGTCAGCCTAAGAAAGGTTTCAACCATTATCAGAAACAAAATTAAAAAGGGGTGGGGTGGGAGACTATATTAATATCAGTGCCTGTGTTCTAAAAATTGCTAACAATCAATTTTGATCAATGTCACATTCAAAATGTTTAGATATAAATGAATAAAGAAAAGTCGTCTTTCATTCTATATAACTAATGGAAAGCAGAATTAAACCCTAGCATTGCCCCTCACAAAAATACAAAGTCAAAAAGTCTTCAAGTATTAAAATCAAAACACTGTCAGTCTCCTGCTTCCTAAGTTATACTTATTTCTCGGTTACATTTTCATCATAGGCAACTCCATGAGACATATTTCCATTGAGGGAGATATGAGTGCATTCATTTTGAACACTGTAACTTAATCACTGTACTACTCGTCCAATCTTGTGGTGGTGGTTTTTTTTTTTTTTTTTTCGTTTTTAAGTTTTTTTAAATTTCTTTGCTAAGTCAAGCTTAATACTATAGGAAGTGCAAAGTATGACTGTTTAGACTTACCCTGTCTCCTTCTCTGCTTCCTGCTTTAGGGAGCAGACATGCTGCTGACATCGGTAGCAGAACCACTGGCAGCTTCCTCTCAGTGGTTTTGCTATGGCAAGGAGCAGAAGACCAGAGAATCTTCAAAAGATTTACCTGGAGGGACAGGGAGGAGCAAGCTACTGGCAGCTGGGGGGGAAGAGGGAATGCAAGCTAACGCAGGCGAGGTTGGGGAAGAACGCACTGAAGTTTAATATTCTGTAGAAATCAGTAAAAGATTTCTGATACTGCATTAGGACATTATGAAAATTGGGTCTTGTAATCTTGTTATGGCTGTGCTATATATGGTCAACTACACTAAGGTTTTTTTTTTTTTTTCTGGCTATAATTTTTAGTCTTCTGGTATGGTATTAGGGGATCTTTGCATTCAGACTGGAAAAGAATTATTTCAAAAACTACCCAATCTCAAGAGACACTATAAATAACAACAATAAACTCATGCGTGCTTTCTCTCTTTCTCCTTCCTTCTTTCCTTCTGTCTCCTTTGAGAAGTCAACACACACATACACACTGAGGGAGGCTAAGAAGGAGGGATATCAAAGAGAACGGAGGCGAGGGAAGAGAGGGGCAAGAGGAGAGGATAGAATACAGTTTGCATGAAAGTATGTTCCATGTAGTTGACGTTGATGTTTGAATTAACTTACAGTATGAAAAGGCACAAAGATCTTAATTAACAGCAACAACAATAATAAAAAAAAAAAACAGTAACACAACTAATAATGATATTATTTATTGAGTGCCTTCCATGTGCCAGGTACATAGGTACATTATGTATAATGCCACATTAAATCCTTAGAACAAAACTTAAAGCTTAAACACCATTATTCACATTTTTTCTGGTGAGTAATCTAAAGTTCAGAATCAGAAATTAACACATTGAACACATGGTAGAGCTAGGAATAGATCATAGGTCAAGCTGTCCCCAGAGTCTTTATTTTGCCCTTATGTGATCCAGAATTCTAAACAATATGCTAACTACTCAGATATAATCTGCAACTACAGAGAAAGCTGATATATTGTGATACTCTCATCACAAAGATAGGCAAAAGTAGAACTACAAAATTTTGAACACTTTTCTTCAATGAGGTTAATATCAAATCCCACTTCATATTTGTCATTCTTTTTTTCTGGTTAAATCAAAGGATTCTATAACTTGTGTCTCAAGTGATTAATTCAAATGGGTTAGCATAACAATAATAAAAAATTATCATCACACACCTTTCAATGTCATATAGTAAATGTCACCAGTTTAGACTTTTATCTATGAAAACAGTATTTCAAATTGACCTTGGATTTGTAGAAGCTTCATGAATGTGAAAATCTATACAAGATAGTAGAATCTATGGATTGTACATGGATTTTACTTTTACTTGATAAAAGACATGATTGATGATATGGTAGCAATGAGTGAAGTATTTTCTTGGAATTTATTGAAGCATTTTTTGCATCATACCAAAACAGTACCAAATAGCAATAGTGTAATACTTTTTGACATACCTTCCATGGTGTTGGTCAAAATGCTGGCTATACTCATTGCTCTTTGCCTTGTTGTGGGATCTTCTAACAAATCCATGGAAACATGGTAAGAACTGGATCGCCTCTTTCTTATTTCTGTTTCAGTAGTAGTACCCTAAATAAAAAATTTCAGATAAAATGACCATTATTCAAAAGGAAGCAAGACCCAAAGCATTCCTACAAATGAGGTACTTGCTAAATGTTCACCATGCTTTCTCAGATCTAAACTGCTCATTAAGATACTACTGGAGTTATCATTCTTGGCAAGTGCTTAAAAAAAACATCAGGTTCTCAGCATTCACAGTCATTTGTGATAGCTATAACAATGCATTATAGACTCTTTCTACTCCTCCATGCTGGAGATTGGGCTGGAGAAACCATATCTACAATCGACAACCATTTAGTATTTCAACCAGTCCTACCTAGGAGTTCACTGGTACATATTGCTCTGTGATTGCCTTTCAGATTCAGTTATTAGATCTTGATGGACATATATTCATGTGGTTTGATTTATGAAAAGAATATGAAAAGTTTCCCTAATATGCATCAGTAACACTCCCACTAAAATGTAAATTTTTTTCCTAAAATTCTTTTATACATTAGAGAAGATAATACTTCCAAAAATTTCAAATAATTAAACTAAGTTTTAAAACTAATCTACAACTTCATAAGGCATCTACAAAGATCTCTAGCTACAAAATGACTCATCATTGGCATTGAAACTCTAGGATAGCACCAGTTGTTGTTGTTAGGTGCCATCGAGTAGGTTCCAACTCATGGCAACCCTATGTACAACAGAATGAAGCACCGCCCAGTCTCACAATCTTTGCGATGCTTGAGCCCATCCTTGCAGTTACTGTCAACCCATCTCTTTGAGTGTCTTTCCCTTTTTTGCTGACCTTCTACCTTAACAAGCATGATATCCTTCTCCAGGGCCCTTCTGACAACATGATCAAAGTAATGATATGAAGTCTGGCCATTCTTGGTTCTAAGGAGCATTCCTGATGCACTTCTTCCAAGACAGATTTGTTTGCTCTGGCAGTCTATGGTATTTTCAGTACTGTCCACCAACACCACAATTCAAATGCTTTCGTGTGCATATGAGGCTACTGAAAATACCTTTGCTTGGGTCAGGTGCACCTACGTCTTCAAAGTGACATCTTTGCTCTTCAAAGAGGTCTTTTGCAGCAGATTTGCCCAGTGCAGTATTTATCTGATTTCTCAACTGCTGCTTTCACAAATGCTGATTGTAGATCCAAGAAAATGAAATTTCTGACAACTTCAATCTTTTTTTTCATTTATTGAACTGTTGTTTATTCAGTTGTGAGGATTTTTGTCTTCTTTATGTTGAGGTGAAATCCATACTGATGGCTGTAGTCTTTGATCTTCATCAGTAAGTGCTTCAAGTCCTCTTCACTTTCAGCAAGCAAGATTGTATTGTTACAGGAAAGAGACCCTGTGAGACCCCAAATGGGTTCTTGTCTTCTAGCTAGAAAGAATTGCTCACAGAGACAGAGATGGTTTACAGGGAGCAAGCCATTAATGAAACCCTGCATGAGGCTGTACAATGGGATAGCAAGCTAGGTGTATAGCATGCTAGTTGGATTGCCAATGTTTTCCAGGTGGCTTACAACAATTATAGAGGACAGAATGAGGAAGCTATACAGTTGGCAAACCAGGTGCATAGGTTTCATATTTTCCTTATTTGGATTCTTGTTTCATTGTGTTCCTGTCTTCTGGATTAGCCCAGGCATCTGCTTGTCAGCAGATCAAGATGGATGCTGTCACAGGGTCTCGTGTGCTGATCCCATACATGAAAACCTGAAATAAACAGCCTGGCAATATCATACTTTCCTAATTGTAGTTTTGTTAGTCATGGTTTCTTGTACTTTGTAACATTATTAGAAAAGGTTTTTAAACAACCTAGTGGCGTAGTGCCTAAGGCACTTGACTGCTAACCAGAAGGTTGGAGGTTCAAACCCACCAGTCACTCCTTGGAAGTAAGGTTGGGCAATCTACTTCCATAGAGATACCACCTCAGAAACCCAAGGAGGGATTGCTATGAGTCATAAACGACTCGACGGCACATAACAACAACAACAATTTCCAACTTAAGTATTAAAAAAAAAAAAAAAAAAACCTCACTGCCATCAAATCGATTCCAACTCATAGCAACCACCTTTGGATTTCTGAGATGGTAAATCTTTATAGAAGTAGATTGCCCACTCTTCCTTCTGCAGAGTGGCGGGTGGGTTTGAATCACCAACCTTTTGTTTAGCAGTCAAATGCCTTATGCACTACTCCACCAGAGCTCCAACTTAAGTATATATCACAATTTTCTAGTTTCTATCAGTAGGAGTAATATAAATAATTTACAAAAAAAAAAAAAATGTAGCTGAGGGAGCTTCCATTCCTTACATGTGTACCTGTCTTAGTGTCATCTTCATATTGCAGGCTGTTAACCAGTCTTCCTCTAATCCTGATCTCAATTATTTACTTCTCAATTATTTGCTCAGCATACAAATTGAATAAGTATGGTGAAAGGATACAACCCTGAACCTGATTTGAAACCATGCTGTATCCCCTTGTTCTATTAAAAAAAATTGCCTCTTGGTCTATGTACACATTCCTCAAGAGCACAATTAAGTGTTCTGAAAGTCCCATTCTTTAAAATGTTACCCATAATATGTTATGATCTACATAGTCAAGTGCCTTAGCATAGTCAATAAAACACAGGTAAATATCTTTCTGGTATTCTTTACTTTCAGCCAGTATCCATCTGACATCAGCAGTGATATCCCTTGTTCCAAGTCCTCCTCTGAATCCAGCTTGAATATCTCTAAGTTCCCTATTGATGTACTCCTGCATCCATTTTCCAACTATCTTCTGCAAAATTTTACTTGTGTGTGATAATAATGATACTGTTCGATAATTTCTGTATTCTGCTGGATCGCCTTTCTTTGAAATGGGCACAAATATCGATCTCTTCCAGTTTGTTGGCGAGATAGATATACTCCAAATTTCTTGGCATAAATGAGTGCCTCCAGCGTTGCATTCATTTGTTGAAACATCTCAATGGGAAGCCTATCAATTCCTGGAGCCTTGTTTTTCACCAATTATTTCAGTGTATCTTGGACCTCTTCCTTAAATACTCTTGATCATATGCTACCTCCTAAAATGGTAGAATGCTGACAAATTCTTTTTGGTATAGTGACGATGTGTATTCCTTCCATCTTCTTTTGATGCTTCTTGCATTGTTCAATATTTTGCCCACATAATCCTTCAATGTTGCAACTCAAGGCTTAAATTTTTCTTCAAGCCTTTCAGCATGAGAAATGTCCAGCATGTTCTTTCTTTTCAGTTTTCTAATTCTAGGTCTTTGCGCATTTCATTATGATAATTTACTGTGTCTTCTCAAGCCACCCTTTGAACCCGATATAACTATATTATTTCATCATTTCTTCCATTTGCTTTAGCTACTCACCATTCACAAGCAAGTTTCAGAGTTTCTTTTGACATCCATTTTGGTCTTTTCTTCTCTTCTTTTTTTTAGTGACTTTTTGCTTTCTTCATGTATGATGTCCTTGATGTCAATCCACAACTCATCTGGTCTTCAGTCAGTGGTGTTCAATGCATCAAATCTATTCTTCACGTGGTCTCTAAATTCAGGTGGGAAATATTCAATGTCATATTTTGGCTCTTGCAGAATCATTTTAATTTTCTTCAGCTTCAACTTCAGCTTGCATATGAGCAATTGATGGTCTGTTCCACAGTCAGCTCCCTGTTCTCACTGATGACATTGAGCTTTTCCATCACCTCTTTCCACAGATGTAGTTGAAATGATTCCCATGTATTCCATCTGGTGAGGTCCCTGTGTATAGTCCCCACTTACATTATTGAAAAAGGTATTTGCAATGAATAAGTATTTGGTCTTACAGAATTCTCTCATGTGGTCTCTGGCATCATTTCTGTCATGAAGGTCTTATTTTCCAACTAGTGATGCTTCTTTGTTTCCAACTTTCGCATTCCAATCAGCAATGATTATCAATACATCTTGATTGCATTTTTGGCCAATTTCAGACAGCAGAAGTTGGTACAAATCTTCAATTTCTTCATCTTTGACTTTAGAGTTGGTGTGTAAATTCAAATAATAGTAATATTAACTGGTCTTCCTTGTAGGCATCTAGACATTATCCTATCACTGACAGCACTGTATTTTATATAAGTAGTTGTATATAGTTATATATCATATAGGTCTTTATATGTCATATACGCAGTTACAATAAGTCTTCGGGGGTAAATAACTATCCCTTTACAGTCTTTCTTGTTGCTTTATTACAAAGTTCTAGTTTTCTCATAATTTAGTATGATTTCAAGACACTTTAGGAGCAAGGCATGATGAATAGGCCATATGAAAAACGGGAAGAAAATTAATGCCTATTTCTACAAGCCAAGGTAAGAAGCCCTTCAGTTTGGTGACTAAAAGCTAGCTCTATATGATTTTAATGTACTTAAAGAGCTTTTCCAACAATGATAAGTGGAATTATGTAAAGAAAATTACACAAAGAGGATTTTCATATGATTCATAAAGCTATAAAATAAAATCAAGTGGCATTTCTGGAATATCTTTATACTAGGAAAATGAAGTTTTATTTAATACCACATATTAAAAGCGTTTTAGCTTTGATAAAGGAAATATCAATAGTATATCCTTATAAATGTTTAGTAATTAGTTGAATTCCATTCCATATGCATGATCTTGGGCCACTTTATCTACAAAGAGAATTCATGATAGTAATATAAAAAATTAAATCTGGCTTCTTTACCACTCAAATGGAGTGCAGCCATTTGAATGGATGCTAAAAATTTTACAACATTCTGCCCTGCAGAGAGAGAATTTTCCACTACAGGGTTTAGATAGAGTTAGTGATAATGTCTACTACAAGTAGGAATATCAAACTTCCATTTTAAACAGAGAAAACAAAATGCTTAAGATAAATATTAATGTAATTTATGAACATTAACTTTCTTGTATTTAATTCAATTATAATTAAACATTATAACTGACAAACTGTTTCTTTGCTTTTTGGCAAGTTCCATACTGTAATTATATCGATGAGGGAATAATTCTAATCTATGCAGACCAATCCATGTTTTTAGTTAATTTTAGGTAAGTCTAAATAGAAATTTTTGGCAAAATAAGTTTATAACTTGATTGAACCAACCTTTGGTCTTTGAACAATTCACTTGGAAAAATACCTAGACATAGTTTTTTTTAAAAAAGGAGGGAAAAGCAAAAAAACACTCTTGCCTGCATCAACCATAGCTCCGTTCCCCTCAGCAGCAGTTTTAATTGTTCTCACCTCTGGGAGGAGCTGTCCAGTAGGAGACGTGAGGGCAGAAGGGCCCCCAACAAGGGAGACCACCCCATTGCAATCCACAGCACTGTGCATTTTCCCATTCATGGGCAGAATCGGGAGCACCCTGGAGGCTCGACTGGCCTGGCTGACGTTGCTATGGCGCCGCTCTCCATGTCTGTGCGGCACAAACAGAGAATCTCTTCGACTGTCGTTGTCTTCAAAGGTGCTGTGCTCATCATCTGCAAAGTCATTTTCCGAGCCAATATCTTTTGCTCGACCTCTGAAGCTGAAAAGGCTTGCCCGACTGTTGCGTCTTGGGGAGAAAAGGGAGCCACGGATGCTCAATAAAGACTGAACAAAGAAAAACAAAACAACCCAGATGAACAAAATTAAGAAATGACATCTGAAAAAGATGAGAAATTTGACTCATTGTTTCATAGTTGTACCCTGTAAGGGTAACTCATTGGACACGTTTTAACTCCTTGTGGTCTTCTCCCTCTTTATTTTGCTTTTCCTTTTTCTCCCTTCCTTCATTTTTCATCTTCTGCTTTCTAATTTTCTGTGATTTTCTTAACTTTATACCTGCTTTAAGATAGTTAGAGGTCCCTGGATACTGCTTTGTCCCATTACTGGTATCTAAGAACGAAAATATTTGTTGGACTATTGCATGGAATCCTATGGGGGGTGCCAATGGGTCACATGCTCGGCTTGGCTGCTGACCCAGCCGGTTAGAGATTCAAGTTTAGCCAGAGGCAACCCATGGAGCACAGTTCTACTCTGACATATACAGGGCTGCCATGAGTCAGAACTGATTTCACTGCAATGGAAAGACCACATTCTAATGTGGATCTTAACACAAACATAAAATAAAATTAATTTCACTAGTAAATTTGGGAGCTCTGGTAGCATAGTGGCTAAGACACTTGCCTGCTAACCAGACGGCTGGCGGTTCAAACCCTCCAGCCACTCCTCGGAAGGAAGGTTGGGCAATCCTACTTCCGTAGTGATACTGCCTCGGAAACCCAAGGAGGGGTCGCTATGAGTCGGGGCCGACTCAACAGCACATAACAACAACAACAACAGTAAATTTACTTAATTCTAGCACAAGGAACAGTCTCTCCCCTTCCCTTTGCATATTTTATAATGGTCTTCATGAATAAGTTAAACAAATCAAGGTGGAAGTACTATATGATTTTCACTCACCTCTGTGTCTCAGGAAATCCAAAGAGCATCATGTTTACAAGAACCTGATTTTTACTATAAATCTGATCATAGTCATTATACACTTTTCTAACTGGCTAAATTGCCAGTGCTATCTTGCAGTTTACCTTGTTTCTTAACCATACCAGAATTTGCATAATGAATCACTTCTTGCATCTTACTAGTCTACTTTTATAACCTCACTGCAGAGAAACATCTCTTGTTTTTCTTTGTTCAGTATCCATTTCTCTTTCATCTTCTACCTGATGGTCTTTGAGATATGCTCCTAAATTCCCTTATGAGGTAATTTGGCAGAAACTGACCTCAATTCCTGAATCCATCAGTGGTACTCTGACCCAGGTGTAGGTAATCAGTGTATTCAACACCTCTGACCAAAAGAATGGTTTAGAGATGGGGATAAGACCCTACGTGGCCCTTTCTTTAATTTAAAACTATTGGAGGTACTTAAAATATTGTATGTAATTTTAGAGCTCCAATAGTTATCTTGCCATCAGATGGAAGGAACTTGGACTCAGATATGGAGAAAGATTGGTCATGATAACATAGTTTGAGCTCCTTGATCCAGCCACTCCAGATGCTACTCATAGATATTATTTACATGATTTAATAAATTATCTTTCTTGCTTAAATGAATTTGAATTACATTTCTATGATTTTTAATAAACAGAATACTAATTCCATTACTTAATTATTATTAGCTTGATAATACTTTTTTCTTTCCCAAGTATTTAAAGCTAACTAAAATAATGAATTTTATCTATATATTCTAATACTCCTTGACCAATAAGTATGACTTTAGTTTTCTATTCAGCTAAAGAATTGTCTCAATAACACATTTACTTCTGTTAACTGCTATCTTATGTTATGTGACTCTATTCATTATTTATAGAAAGTATCACATCTAAGAAGACTTCTCCCTCCACAACCAGAAGTCATTTCTCTTTTTCTTGTTTCTATACTTTTTATCCTATGATTAAATTCATAAATAATATTCATTCTTCTTATTATTGTTTTCCACATAAGTGGTAACTTTTTGTAAGGCTCTTCTAGACTACAAACTTTCCATTCTTTTTTGCCTCCTTTCTCTCTTTTTACAAGGGACTTTGAATTAGCTCTGAGGACATGATAGCTACAGGATTTATGGGCTTCTGATTATCATTAGCTCAAAATAAAGGACAAGAAATGCTTGGAAATAAGAAACACAGTAGAGATTATTTATATGTATTTATTTATATGTATCACTCTTAGTTAGCTTGTATTTTAACTACAAGTATTCCATTCAATTAGAGCTAGTTGAAAGATTGGAAGGAAATAAGGGTTAAAATTGAATACATTGTTAAGATTCAAAGGTGAATTATGCCACACAAGAGCATAGTTTACGTGCCACAACTGTATGAAAAGTGATTGCACCCTATCTGTTAGCATCAATTTCTATTTTTCATATTAATTTAAAATCCATAACAATTAGATTCCATGCCTTTAATAAATATGACCAGTAAGAAACCATCCACTCTACCAAATGAATTTCTAAAAAGCAAAAATCCTGATTTATATCAAATAGTGAATGTCACCTGTATCTTATTAAATATTCAAATAGCTGGAGAGTTTATTAGAGATTACACTTTTCTTTCCACCTTCTGCCATGCTATAAAATCAAATTGGAGTCTAAGAATTATTTTATATAATCACCTATTCTATTGAGAGAATGATAATCATACAATAAAAGCTTATGTTATCTTTTGCAACATGAAGGTAGGAATGGTTACTCTTCTTTCCATTATCGTTGTTATTACATGTCGTGGAGTCATCTTTGACTCATAGCGACGCTGTGTACAACAGAACAAAACACTGTCCGGTCAGTCCTGTGCCAGCCTCACAATCCTTGCTATACTTGAGCCCATTGTTGCAGCCACTGTGTCAATCCTTCTCGTTGAGGGCCTTCCCCTTTTTCATTGACCTTCCACTTTACCAGGCATGATATTCTTCTCCGGGGAATGGTTCCTTCCGACAACATGACCAAAGTAGGTGAGATTAAGTTTGGCCATTCTCCCTTCCAAGGAGCATTCCAGCTGCACTTCTCCCAGCATCAGGTCTTCTTCAGTCTTCTTTATTCATTGTCCAGTTCTCACACACATAAGGAGCAATGAAAAATACCATGGCTTGGGTTAGGCACACCTTAGTCTTCATGGAGACATCTTTGCTCTTCAGCACTTGAAAAAGGTCTTTTGCAGCAGATATGCCCAATGCAATACATCGTCTGATGGCTTGACTGCTGCTTTCATTGGTGTTGATTATAGAACCAAGTAATATGAAGTCTTTGACTACTTCAAAAATTCTTCTCCATATATCATGATGTTGTTTATTGGTCTAGTTGTGAGGATTTCCGTTTTCTTTATATTGAGGTGTAATCCACACTGCAGACTATAGTCTTCAATATTCATCAGCAAGTGCTTCAAGTCATCCTTACTTTCAGAAAGCAAAGTTGTGGTCTGAGTATTGCAGGTTGTTAATGAGTCTTCCTCCAATCCTGATGCCACATTTTTCTTCATATAATCCAGATTGTCGGATTATTTGTTCGGCATGCAATTTGAATAAGTTTGGTGAAAGGATACAACCCTGACACACTCCCTTCTTGATTTTAAACCATGCAGTATCCCCTTGTTCTGTTGGAATGACAGCCTCCTAATCTATGTACAAGTTTCCTCAGGAGTATAATTAAGTGTTCTCGAATTCCCATTCTTCTCAATATTATCCATAATTTATTATGATCCACACAATTGAATGCTTTTGCATAGTCAATGAAACATAAATAAACATCAGCAATGACATCCCTCATTCCACATTCTGTTCTGAATCCAGCATGCATTTCTGGAAGTTCTCAGTCAATATACTGCTGCAACTATTTTTGAATTATCTCCAGTATGATTTTACTTATGTATGGTATTAATGATATTGTTCAATAATTTCCACATTCTGTGGGATCACCTTTCTTTGGAATGGGTACAAATATGGATCTCTTCCAGTCAGTTGGCCAAGTAGCTGTCTTCCAAGTCTCTTGGCTTAGCCAAATGAGTGCCTCAAGAGGGGCATCCATTTGTTGAAACACCTCAACGAGTATTCCATCAATTCCTGGAGCCTCATTTTTCATCAGTTCCTTCAGTGCAGCCTTGATTTCTTCCTTCAGTACCACTGGTTCTTGATCATACGCTACCTCCTGAAATGGATGAACATTGACCAATTCTTTTGGGTACAGTTACTCTGTGTATTTCTTCCAAAACATCTTCTTTTGATGTTTCCTGCATGATTCAATATTTTGTCCATAGAATATGGACAATATTTCAATACTGCAACTCGAGACTTAAATTTTTTCTTCAGTTCTTTCAGCTTGAGAAAGGCCAAGTGTGTTCTTCCCTTTTGGTTTTCTAATTCCAGGTCTTTGCACATTTTATTATAATAATTGACTTTGTCTTCTGGAGCTGCTCTTTGAAATCTTCTGTTCAGCTCTTTTATCTTGTCATTTCTTCCACTTTCTTTAGCTACTCTCCACTCAAGGGCAAGGAGAGGTCACTATGAGTTGGAACTGACTTGATAGCAGTGAGTTATATAATTCTTGGTTGGAAATTTTTTTTTCTTTCAGGGTTTTATATATACCATCTTATTGTCTTCTCTCCTGCATGGTTTCTGCTGAGAAATCTGAGCTTAGCTTATTTGTTGCCTTGTAGGTAACTTTTCATTTTTCCTGTGCTGTTTTCAGGATTCTGTTGTTGTCTTTGGTTTTGGTGAGTTTGATGATGGTATGTCTTGGTGATTTTCTTTTGGGGTCTAGTCTGTTTGGGGTTCATTGGACTTCTGGAATGGATATACTCTCATCTTTGATCATACCAGGAAAATTCTCTTTCCAGTAAATCTTCGACAATTTTCTCTGTGGTTTTATTTGTTTCTTCCTGTTGTGGAATGCTGATTACATGCAGTTTATTCCTTTTGATTGTATCCCACATGATCCTTAGTCTTTCTTTATTTTGTTTTGATCTTTTTTCTGATTGATCCCTTTCCAAAGAAGTGTTGAGGTATTTGCCTTTAATCTCACTAATTCTGTCTTCTGCTGATTCAATTCTACTCCTTAGCCCTTTCAATGTGTTATCTATTTCTGAAAATTTAGTATTAACCTTCTGGATTTCTACCTGCAGATTTTTTTATCATTTCTAATTTTTCATTTATTTTGTCATTTGTTCTTGTATTGTCTTTCAAAATTGTTCTCTATGTTTCCCTCAACTTTGTCAGTGTTTTCTTTGATCTGTCACTCAATCCATTGCAAGTACCTAAATATAATTCTTTTGAATTCCCCATGAGGGAGTTCCAGTGCTGTTTCTTCCTCAGGATACGTTCTGGGTCTGTACCCTGGTGCACTGTTTCTCTTACTTTATCTTGCTTCTTTGTGGACTATGATGCTCTGCTATCTCTGAGACACTGTGACATTTTTGTGTTTAAATTTAATTGGTGATTGTATGTTGGAGTGACTTGCCCATGATTTTTGTTTTCTTTGTATGTTATCTACATGAGCAGGGTACTGTGTTCCTCTATTCGCTAATTGGCAGCATTTATACACTTACCACCTGTCTCCTTTACCATTGTCAGCCTCCCATATGTCCTTGCTGCCTTAGCAAATGGAGCCAATTCTTAGGTTCCTGGAATCCGAATGAGAATGCTGTCACTTTAAATATTCAAAATGGTCACTGCTTGTCAACATTCAAAATGGCTGCACCCTCGGTCACTTTAAATATCCAAAGTGGTCACTGCTTGTAAACAATCAAAATGATTGCCCTCTCTGGACAACCAAAAGTCCACAGCTCAGGTTGTCCCCCTCCTTGCTGTTTCCCTTCCTAGTCATAGGCCACCAGTGCAAACATTCCTGCAGCCCTTGGTGACTAGGGCTGATCTTTAGGTCAAGTCTCAGGTCTCCACACCACTTGGAAATATTCAGGCCATTGGTGCCATCAGAGTAGCTGACAGTATGCAGCTCAGTATGTTTCCATACTCACTGTTTTGGTTCAGATTTTTCTACTAGTTGATGCCTAATTCACTTCTGTATACTTTATTTCAAAGCTCAGGGTTTCAGTATTATTTTCTGTATCTCTGTCAATTTTTTTCTCTTTTTTTTTTTTTTGTTGTTGAAGAGGGCCAGTGTAGCTTGTTTTGCTTATTCCACTATCTTACCAGAAGTCCCCCTTTCCTGTCTTTTTAATGACCTCTTGCTTTCTTCATGTACAATGTTCCTGACATCATCCCACAATTCCTCCGGTTTTCAGTCATTGGTGTTCAGTGCGTCAAATCTATTCTTTAGATGGTCTCTAAATTCAGGATGGATATAACCAAGGTCATATTTTGGCTCTCATGGACTTTTTTAAATTGTCTTCAACTTCAGCTTTAACTTGCATATGAGAAGTTGATGGTCTGTTCCACAATCAGCTCCTGGCCTTGTTTTGGCTGATGATGCTGAGCTTTTCCATCACCTCTTGCCATACATGTAGTCAATCTGATTCCTGTGTATTCCATCTGGTGAAGTCCATGTGTATAAACACCGTTTGTGTTGTTGAAAAAAGTATTTGCAATGAATAAGTCATTGGTCTTGCAAAATTCAATCATGCAATCTCCAGCATCATTTCTGTCACCAAGGCCATATTTTCCAATTACCAGTGATTCTCCTTTGTTGCCAACTTTTGCATTCCAATCTCCACTGATAATCAACACATCTTATTACATGTTTGGTCAACTTTAGACTGCAAAAGTTGGTAAAAAATATTCAATTTCCTCTTCTTCGGCATTGGTGGTTGGTGTGTAAATTTGAATAATAGTAGTATTAACTGGTCTTCCCTATAGGTGTATGGATATTATCCTATCACTGACAGCATTGTACTTGAGGACAGATCCTAAAGCATTCTTTGTGAAGATGAATGCCGTGCCATTCCTCTTCAATCTGTCATTCCCAGCATAGTAAATTACATGGTTGTTTGATTAAAAATTGTCAAAGCCAGTCCATTTCAGCTCACAATTGCATAGGATATTGATCTATATGCATTCCATTTCATTTTTAACAATTTCCAACTTTCCTACATTAATTTCATTTCCTAGATTCATGTAGAATTTTGTACATTGCATGTTATGTTTATTAATGGATTTTGCAGCTGTTTCTTCTCATTTTGAGTCATGTCACATTAGCAACTGAAGGTCCTGAAAGCTTTACTCCATCCACATCATTAAGGTTGACTCTACTCTGAGGAGGCAGCTCTTCCTCAGTCATATTTTGAATGCCTTCCAACCTGAGGGGCTTTCCTTCTGGCATTATATCAGACAATGTTTCAGGGCTATTCATCAAGTTTTCCAGTAATATATCAGATAGTGTTTCACTCGTATTCATAAGGTTTTCACTGGCCAATTTTTTGAGAAGTGGATGGCCTCTTTCTTCTTCCAAGTGTCTTAGTCTGGAAGCTCCGCTGAAACCTGTCCACCAGGGATAACCCTGCTGGCATTTGCAACACCAGTGGCATAGCCTCCAGCCTCAAAGCAACACACAAGCCACCACAGGACCACAAACTGACAGACAAGTTTGTCACTCTTAGTTGTTCCAAACCACTCTGATCACTTCCTGGCCTCCCTTAAAGCTGCTCCCAGCCCCACACCTGGATCACCATCTGGGCCATCTTAAAGCTGCTTCCAAACACTCCTGTGCCTGGCTTTCTTTCCATTATGTCAGTACAAAATAGTAGTTCTTAAAACTTTTGTGTTCTAGATCCTCAAAAACTCTGATAGAAGCTATGGACCTTCCATGGCATTACCCATATTAAGAACCTATACCTGGTGTGACATTACCAGCCTTACATCCAACGCTTGCAAAGCGGGGTTAGTATGATTCAACTCCATGACAATGAGTTTGGCTTTGATTCTCTTCTCTCATTCTCTCTCTCTCTTCTCTTCCCTTTCTTTCTCTCTTTCCCTCTACCTACTTGTTTGACTATTTCTTTCATAGGCTAAAACAAAACAAAAACAAAAGAAGTTTTTAATTGTATTTTTATACATATGCCTCTTAAGAAAAAGATAGCAATTTGGGATCAACATTCCACACTGTATAACTCAGTGGTCACTAGCCTGGTTTGCTAGGGAATAAATAATAAAGGAATAAAGGAGAGAATACTTGGAAAATATTCTCTGTGAGCAAAATTTATAGAAAGAAGTGGGACAGAGTCAAATCATTTCAAGCTTCACTATTTTTCCTAGGATTAGCTCTAGTCTATTTGTAATGAATTAAAGAAAATTGAGAAGAATCTCTACAGTAAGTTTTGATGTGCAATTTAAAACTCAGGCAATTTAGCTTGGCTTCAAGATGCTTTCTTTATCCTTTTCTTTCCTTCCTTCTTTCCTTCATTTTTGAATTCTATATAAAGGGCATTTGATTTCTACAGGATTCTTATTTATTAAAGTTAATATCCTTACTAATGGAATTATAATGATGATTGTGATAACAAATGAATGAGGATGACTAAGTGTAGATATATTTTAAATTTGAATTCAACTCCTCTAATCTATAATTAACGTGCTCTGGTGATTCAGTGGTTAAAGTGCTCAGCTGATAATTCAAAGAACAATTTAAACCCAAGAACCACTGTGCAGCAGAAAGATGTGGCATTCCACTTCTGTAAAGATTCACAGCCTTAGAAACCCTATGGTGCAGTTCTACTCTGTCCTATAGAGTGGCAGAGAGTTGGAATTGACTTGACTGCAGTAGGTTAAGCTTTTAATCTTATAATTTATCCTATCTCATAATGCCATTTGGATGTGTATTGAATCAGGGTGACCTATAAAAATTTACATATGTTAAACATAATCAGTGAGATTGTCTATATTATAAAATGTACTAAGAACAAGCATAATCCTAAACATATGTATTTTTAATGAAATAAACACTCATTAATTTTTAAAGATATTCTTTACTTTAATGCTAATAAAGTGGAATATTTAACAGTTTTGGAATCAGGCTGATTTTGAACACCCCCTTAGCTCTTACTAACTACATGATATTGGGCAATTTATTTGACTTCACGGTATTTAAATAATAGTGAAAATAATAATATACAGGACTGTTGTTGGGATTAAGTATGATGGTGTATACAGAAGGTCAAGCATAAAATTGGCACTTGACAGAGGACATAATTCTTTCCTTCTCTTCATATCTGTAAACTGATAACCTAGGGTAGGCAATAGGGTTGTAGTGAAGTGGTTAAATGAATTTATATTGCAAGCAGTACTGCACTGCAGAAGTGTCAGCCATTATCATTGCTATTACAAGGACATTTAGGTTTCACTCTTGGTGCAATTGTCTTCTGATGAACTGTGTCTTCCTAGTCATTCTCTTTGTCATTTCAAAGACAACTAAGGATCCCAAAGTTTAAAGTTTCAACAGCTTGTGTGGGTATGTAAGTCAGAGGAATGAGGTAAAGATTTTCCTCACTTTATCAATCAGAGTATACTTTGAAAGCAAGCTTCACATTAAATATGAAACACAGATAATCAAGAATAATTAAACACCATTGTAAATTTATTGTCATAAATATTCCTAAGTGCATATCTAGCCAAGAATCGGGTAGAAAATTTATTTTGCTTCAGTTTCTTCGAAACAAGGGCATGAAGAAATCACTTGTCATATGAAGTTTGTAAGTGGATGGGAACAACTGCACAGATGGTCTGAAAGAGTCCATGATCCACTTCTGGAAACATGCCACTCAGAAAAACCCACAGTTCACTGAGTCCAAGCACAATAGCTAAGAATGGATGGAAAACATCTGTTGATAATTCTTCACATGGAAAACTGCCCTGCAATGCTTGTGCGTATAACAAAATCTCAAGACTCCAAATCTACCAAGTCCAATGGGATCTATGCTCTAAAAATTAAAAAGTGGTAAAGCTCACTAATTCTCTGAAGTGATAACCAAAATATTTTGATGACCATTATCATCAATCTATCATACATGAGAATGCAATTTTATTATTATCAAATTCTGGTAAATTTGGGAAAAAATAGTTTGTTATAAAAATGCTATTTAGGCAATGTAATATTTTTACCTGATGTGGAGAAGAAAACCTCTTTTCATATGTCAGCCTACTTCCTTCTAAGGAAAAACGGAAACCTTTTCTTCTTATGCTGTCTTCAGATTCAGATTTGCGGAAGCCCTCTTCTTTCTCTTCTTCTCCTGACTGTTCTTTCTGCTTTTTCTTCTTCCTTCTGTTTTTCATCTCTTTTTCACTCTTGGAGCTCAACTTTGATGCCACTGAAGAACTCTCTGAGAAAACTCCTATCCCACCAGCACCACTGAAGTCTCTTGATTCAGCCGATGCTGCTGCTGCTGCTGCCTAGAATAGCATGGAGGAAATAGCAGTTGCATATAAACTATTTTAAAATTTACCCATATTATTGCTTAACTTATCTTTACTAGCAGGAATATTATCTTAAAAAAGTGAATCTTCATGCCACTCTATATTTTGGAAACCAGTGTATTGTAGTTAGATCAGTTGAAGAATAAAATCAACAGATACGCGGAAGATGTTACATAAGATATTGATGGAAATGTTTACATTCTGGTTTCACATAATGTTTTCTGATTATTCTAATAATATGAACATGACACTTAAATATCATGACAATTTTTATTATTATTTTAACAATATCTTAACAATGGAAGAAGTAAAAAAAAAAAAAAACCCTTCCTATTTAAATCTGAAAGGAGCTCTAGTGGTGCAGTGAATAAAGCATTTGACCAATAACCAGAAAATTGGCAGTTCAAACCCACCAGCAGCTCCACAAAAGAAAGATGGGGCAATCTACTTCTGTAAAGATTTACAGAAACCCAAAGAAGGTCACTATGGGTCAGAATCGACTCAATAGCAATGAGTTTGTTTGTTTGTTTTTGGTTATTTAAACCTGAAAGATGTTTACTTCTGTCACATAAACACTTTAATGCAACTTTAGTACTAGTCTAAATTACTGAACATAATTCAGTCAAATATTATAATAAATAAATGTTCTATTTAAGTTAATCATTTCAATACAAAAAGAACAACAAAGACATACTAACGCACTGCAGTGACCCCTCCTTGGGTTTCCGAGGCAGTATCACTATGGAAGTATATTGCCCAACCTTCCAAATCATTAGCTACTGCTATTAATTAGCATACTATAGTTTTAGAAAATAAATATATAATGCTCTAAGTTGTTACTACTACTCAAGTAGATTTTACTTGTTTGACCTTTATTACACATATAAGTGTATTCAGTGATAAAAGGAAACTGGACTCAACATCCAAGAAAAAGCAAAATTAGGCAATTGGTTTAGTTAATGCCATTAAATTGAAAAAATACAATTAGAGAAATTTTTATCTGATGTTGAAACCTCATTCAGTTCAAATTAAAGGCCTTCATGGTGGGAGGCAAAGAATGCAGTTATTTTGTAATGTTTATCCACAAGTGTTCCCCTTATGCAACACCACACACTTGCAGTTATGTACTCTTCAAATACAGGAGAATAGATTTTGAATAGATTTTGTATTTTCAAATTTTATGAAATAATTTTCTCAGTTTGACTTTGTTTTTCTGACTTTTCCCACCTATATAGTGACACTGTAGTAAAGCAAGTATACCCAATATCTTTTCCCCCAGAAGATTAGAAAAATATTTTGATTGAGGGCATATGGAATTTCATTGTGAACTTGATTAAGTGAATGTGTTAATAGATAATTTCATCAAGGGCCAAAAAGAAAAAAAAAATTCAATCATGCAATTATAATTCTCCATGTTTAGAGGCCGTTAATATTGACAGCAATCATTAAAATATAACAATAATGTACTAACATTACAAATATGACATGCTTCAAATGATAACTACTGCTGCTGGAGTTGAGACAAATAAAAACAAAAAAGAGCTTTCTTGCTAACTATACCTGAGCTTCTTCTTGTTGTTTTTTTAACTGTTCAAGCATCTGCTGAAATTCAGCTTCTTTCTGTTCAGCCTCTTCAAGTGTTGCCTGATTCTGCTCCTCATAGGCCATGGCCACCACAGCCAGGATCAAATTTATTAGGTAGAATGAGCCCAAGAAAATGACCAGCACAAAAAATATCATGTATGTTTTCCCAGCAGCACGTAATGTCTGCAAGAACAGAAGAGATGCTGTGTTACATTTCATATAGTTTATACTCTATCTACTGTAATAAAAGATATTAATAGAAATTCTCTTGATCTCAATATTTCATGCTTCACAGAAAAATCATTTTCTCTTTCCTCACCAGTTGATAAAGGTTTTCCCAGAAGTCTTGAGTCATGAGTCGAAATAAGGACAAGAATGCCCAACTGAAGGTGTCAAAGCTTGTGTAGCCATAGTTTGGGTTTCTACCAGCCTTCACACAGATGTAGCCTTCTGGACACTGGCTGTAATTAATGAGAGGGAAGAGGGCCATTCAGCACTTGCAAGTCTGCTTGTTGACCTTTCCTGTTTTTATAGATGCCAATCACCATTTTACATAACACTAAGGAAAGCCCATTTATTTTAGCTGACCCAGGACTTAACCCAGCACTACCTAGTCTGATTTTTACAACAGAATTTATTTAGCTTTAGATTCCTCTGTGATTTGCTGTCATTATTATACTTATCTCTCTCTGTAAAAACAATCCTACAATGATTAATTTTTTTTTTATATTTGTGAACAAGAACAGATAAATAAGTCCATAGAAAAAAAATGATTTTCACTGAATATATCTAGATGCAGAAGTATGTATGAGTGTAGGGGTAGGATAGTGAGACGAAGAAGGACGAGGGTTTGGGGGCACACTGACAAGAAGGAATGGTCTGTATAATATGGCTTTCGCTGTATCACCCTGATGGTCAAACTGACCTGGACTTAATATTGTGTCTGCCACTTCTGGGCTCCATGACCTTGGGCAAGTTTCCTAACTCAGTTAATGTTTTGGTACCTTATATATAAGAATGGAGTAAAAACAGAGCATGAATCTCAAGTTTGCAAGTATCAAATGAGATATTATATGTAAAGAATTTAGCACAGCACAGACATGGAAATAATATCAATCTGATTCGCATGTTATTGGAATCCACAATAAAGGCAGCACTATGTTTATCGTAGATGCCAAACGTCAAGGCTATTACCATCAAGAATTTTGTTACAGGTTATTAACTACTAATGTACACAATATCACATTCCACAGAAAGAACATTAGATGTCTGTCTATAATTCTAAAATCTTGACGAACAGGAATGGTAGCTATTTTTCTGAATTCTTCTAGGCTTTATCTCCAGGTCACTGCTTACCAATAATAAAGGTTCACATGACACCAAACATCATCATTAAAAGCATGCATTGAGTGCTCTAAGAGCTATACATATATTAAATAATTTAGCATATGAAATCTACTTAATCTTCGTAGCAATCTTATTATTACACCCATTTATGGCATGAGAAGATTGAGGTAAGGAAAGGGGGTACTTTATTGTGTAAGTAGGTTTTGAACCCACACAATCAGTCTCTCCAATCTATGCTCTTAACCACTTTGTTAAAATAATATAGGAAAACCCTGACCATGCCTCAGATACTGAAATTATCCTCAGACATTTTACATTTTAAGTCCATTAGTATCACATTAGCATTAAAAAATATCACACTTATAAGAGTGCATGCTTATATTCAATTAACTTAAGCTTCTTATGTATAGTACTGCTGTTCTCTCTCTTTTCAATTGTACTTATTTAGAAGATTAGATGTGACCTAGTATGGAAAAATAATTGTTGCATATGAGAATGTGAAGGAGGTGAGAATCCACACTTATCCCAGCTATTCTGGGAGTCAGCGTGAAGCGGAATTTATGGAGGTCTTTGAATGAGGAGCAAGCGGGGGCCGAGGGTGGGAGGTGGCAGGTTACTGAGGCTGATGGAGCAGTGCGGACTGAGACTTAACTCTAAAGCATCACTTACCCTGCGTCTGAGCTGTTGCCACAAAGCAGAGCATCGTTTTGCCCTTCCAAAAAGTAAAAATGACCTATTTAAAGAACAAGGGATAAAAAGAATCATTAAACCCTCAAAACCCTTCAACCATTGTATCTAGGTAATAAAGCTTATAAATTGATTTTGATCATAACGAAATAGAGTAATAAATATGTGTATGACCTAATGAAATTTCTTCTTAATAGTAATGAAATACTAAACAAATATCAAAATATAACATTTTTGATTACCCAAATACACTAAAAGTCTGTTTTAAAAAGAAAAAAATTCAGGAGTAATTATTATAAATTTATGATAGCAACACTTATTACAAATATAACCTCAAATTGTTTGAGATACTTCAAGAAAGAACCAATTTAACTGCTGTTTCTTTTGTTCAAAAAGTGACGCAGAGGGAAGCTATGTTGTTTCTAAATGCCTCATGCAAATAAAATATTATTTTACAAATATTCTTTACCTGGGTTCAGAATAGGTTCTGATATATTAAATTTTTTTGTGTGTGTGTGCCAATCTAAGCTTAATTTCACGTAAGATGTGGTCTTAGCTATGTGTTCCTTCTTTTCTTATGATGTTGTAAATCTGTTTCATTTTGTTTTGGTTTACATTTATTATTATTCTTTAAATGAATATGAGAACCGTGTTTCTTTGGGGGTATATATTTCTAAGCATACCTACTGGTAGTTTCTATTTTCATGGTATACCATATATATAATTTTACTAGGTTGTAAAAATGGTCACAGGAAAAATACACACACACATATATTTATATACTCAAATGCAAAAAAATACGCAAATACACACACATATACAAACATAGACATATCTTTTATCGAGTTCATTAACATAAGGAAAAAGGGACAAGATATTTTATTTCTTACCTATGCTATTTTAAATTGGTTTAAGTCATTTGGAGGAGCTCTGGTAGCATAGTGCCTAAGGCACTTGACTGCTAACCAGAAGGCTGGTAGTTCAAACCCACCAGCCACTCCTTGGAAGGAAGGTTGGGAAATCCTACTTCTGTAGTGATACTGCCTTGGAAACCCAAGGAGAGGGTCCCTGTGAGTCAGGGCCGACTCGACGGCACATAACAATAAATAACAACA